TAAAGAATATGACGCATAGAATAACATGTATCTTGAATTAAATAAGACATGTAAGTATTGAAATTGAAGATTAGAAAAGGGAAGAAGAGATGAGGGGAGAGAGGGAGTACGTATAGGAGGAGGCAGGAGGGGAACGTAGTAGTAGAGGAGGTGGGGATAGTTGTGGAGAGGAGAATTTTATTTTTTTTATTTGATCTAATGGTTGGTAATATTGGATACACCAATTTTAAGGAAAATCATGGACTACCACTTAGCAACCTATGAGCATTTGTAGGAGGACACGTGGCGGCCGGCGTAGGAGCGTTTATAGAAAGTTTAATAGACTTTTAGTATATCTGTACTATTAAAAATACAAAGTGTTTCCTTCGTCCGTGTAAAAAAAGTCCGACTGTAAAAAAAAAAAAATAGGCCAGCGCGAAAAAAAGGAAGGGTGAAAAAAAGGGCGGCGAGAAAAAAAAGCGGCAAAAAAAGACCGATTCCGACGCGGCAAAAAAAAACGTAAAAAAGGCAAACAAAAAAAGAAGCGCCCCAAAAAATCATCTGATTCCTATTCCTATCGTACCATAAAATTTAAAAAAAGGGCAGAAAAATGCAAAAAAAAAGAGGCGCAGCAAAAAAAAAGTCCTATTTCTATTCAACACGGAAAAAAATTAACCGCCTTTGAAAACCGATTCGATACCCCACCATGACAAAAAAAAAAACAAGTTTCCATCTAAAAAAGGTTCAGCATAACATAAAAAAAAATCTGACTCTAGAAAAAAAAATCAACACTCCAGATTGGCTGTAAATCAACCGAACAGGAGTTGGTTTAAATCGTACCAAGTCCTATTCAGCACACATTTGGTTTAAATCGTACCAAGTCCTATTCAGCACACATCAGGAGATCAAAACCATATATCTCTATCTCTATCTCTATCTCTATCTCTTCTCTACTACTTAAAAAATAAGAGATGCTTCCATCGTCCGTCAAAAAAAACCGGCGAAAAAAACCGGGCGAGCGAGGAAAAAAACCGGGCCAAAAAAAACCGTAACTGTCCGGCGAAAAAAACAATTCGATTCCATGAAAAAAAGGGCGACAAAAAAACCGGATGAAAAAAACCGTAACTGTCCAATAAAAAAGGGAAAAAAGTCTGATTGCGTGAAAAAGGGCGACAAAAAAACCGCCCCAAAAAAACGGACGAGCGAAAAAACCGGACGAGCGAGAAAAAAAACCGTAAATGTCTGATAAAAAAAAAGGGCGAAAAAAAAAATCCGATTGCGTGTCAAAAAAGCGAAAAAAATATCTATCTCTATCTCTGTCTCTACTACTTAAAAAATAATAAAAGATGTTTCCATCGTCTGTAAAAAATAGCTAAAAAAAAAAGGTCTGACTCCTATCCGATTACCTCAAACAGAAAAAAAGTCCGACTATAGATCCGATTCTTAATCTATACCGTGATATCTTACACATCTTGGTGAAACAAAATGATGAGCAAGATTAAAGATCTGTTTAATAAAACAGAACCTACAGGTCGAGAGCATTCCATTTTTATATGATTTTAATTTTTGGGTTTGTACTTTTGCTTTTGAGTCCCTATAATTTTTATATTTACATTTGAGTTCCTATAATCTTGCAATAAAGTACTTGAGGTCGTTTTTGTTAAAAATAATAATAAAAGAGAGAACAAAAGCAAAAAAGTGCATAAAAAGAAAAAGGAAAGCTGCAAAAAAAAAAAAGAAAACAACAACAACAAAAGTTCCGTTTCCCCTCTGTGGCAAAAAAAACCGTAGATCTGAACGAAAAAAAATACGATTCCTATAAAAGGTAAAAAAAAGTGAAAAAAATGCTAGATTCGATTCCTTTAAAAACAGGAAAAAAAGTCGGATTCCTATAAAGGCGAAAAAAAACAGAAAAAAAATCTTAAAAAGTTTGTCCAATTCCCTAAGAAAGTGGCGAAAAAAATGGTTTGTAAAAAATAGAACGCTTGTTCGTATAAAATAAAAAATGCACACATGAAAAAAAAAATAGAAAGGGCGAAATTTCTAATCAATATATATCTCTACTCTATCTCTAATATAATCTAACTATTTTTAAAAAAAATACACGAGAGAATAAAAACGGTTCAAACAAACGCGTGAGAAAAAAGTCAGAAAAAAGCAAAAAAAACACGCTAAAAAGGTTTTCCATCTTCCATAAAAAAAATAAAAAAACGCGCGAGAAAAATTATTTCCATCGTCGGTAACCTTTTTAAAAAATAAAACATGCGAGGAAAACCTGTCAGAAAAAACGCGCCATTTTAACAAATGGTTTTAAAAAAAACCGCACAAGAAAAAAACACCGTCTATTAAAAAAATCGCTCTGAGTCGGATAGGATCCATCGATTTTTTGCCACCTACTACACGGCTTTTATTTCGTCTATATTCTCTTGTTTTTAAAAAAAGCAACAAAAATAACATTTGAAAAAAAACAAGCAAAAAAACACGCGAGAAAATAATTGGCAAAAAAAAGGCAAAAAACACACGAGAAAAGAAAAGCAAAAAAATGGAGAAAAATATGGTTTTCGTTATAAAGAAAAAAGCAAAAAGATCTTGTTAGAAAAAAAAACTTTTAGAAAGAAATGCGTCATTTCTGAATGGTTTGAGAAAATCGCACAAGAAAAAAACACCGTTTGTATAAAAACAAGCCGCTCATTAAAATACAAACATTGCCATTGACATAATTATTCATGAAAAACGTATATTATCATTAGAATTTTTTCACCCGTTGCAACGCACGGGCATTTTTGCTAGTAATAGATAAATAGATAGTAGATGATTGCGAACCAAGATCAGGAACAGAGACGCCAAAACGTCTTTAACACTGGGAGTATATATGATATAAATTAAGTTTAGCAAAAGTATATGTATTTCTTACACGCCAAGACCCAAGAAATCAACAGAACAAATATTCTACCGGATTGAAAATATATAATATACTGCAATTGGTATTCTTGAAATCATCACTGTACCAAATTACCAGAGAAACATGATGCACGTGTAACCTGTGGCACAGCTAGATGCCTAGATCAATCTCCGCCGCCTTCCTGCGTGCGTGAACTCGCGTGGCCGCTGCCCTCCTGCTTAGCGATGCTTGCTAATTAATCTAATCTGTAAAAATTTATTTCTCATCACGATACAAAGTTTTTCGAATAAATTAGGAGGGAGGAAGTATACGGACGTATGTGCGTTAGTGGGCCGGTGGAGGAAGGAGGAGGAGATGGATTGTGGACCTATTCTAAAGATAATTTTCTATTTACAGTTGAAAATAGCGTGTTATTTATTCTAGTGCCATGTGGCGTTTTAGGAGCGTTTTTAGGAGCGCCACGTGTTAATATAAGAGCGTTTGTAGGAAGTTTAATGAACTTTTAGTATATAATAGATAGATAGAAGATATTGAAAGCGTACATGCGTGTGCGATCAATTCTTTAGCATGAAAATGAGATGAGTGCACAGATGACCAAAAAGCCCGAGGTCCGACGGCCTGGTTCAAGGTACGGCATTTTGGCGCGGCCCAAGCACGGCATGGCCCAAGGTCAGGCCGGCCGTGCCAGCCCGGCCCGACCGCTGGCACGGTATTTGGAGCGGTCAATGCCACGTCAGATGAAGATCGAGTCGAATTAGCCACGTAAGCACCACGTCAGTTAAAAACACCGTCGAAACTGCCTTGGGACTGGCTTTGTACCAGTTTTGACAGTTGAGGGACATGTTATACCTGGTTTTCTGGTTGAATGATGAAAATCGGATTCGTGGACAAGTTAAGAGACCTCAGATGAACTTATTCCTTTCTTTTTCCCCGGCTTCCAATTTGGGCCTAATGCCAGAGAAACTATGTCAATGGGCAGAAAACTCTCATATTAATAGTCGAGTTGGACCGAAAGATTTGGAGGAGCAGCTACATACACCTATAGAACAAGTTGGGCCGAATGCTTTCCACACCACCATACGTGATTTGGGCCTGAAACAAGGTGAAGACTCCGAATTGAGATGGTTTTAAACCAAACTAAAATTCGACCAGAACTTCTTTTAGGGGAACCTTTTTAGGGTAAAATGTTCGACCAGAACTTGATTTGGAATATACTAACAAACAGACTGAATTAAGTTCTCATATAAGTGATACAAATGTACAAGCAATCGCAAAGATAATCACCACTATGTCGAATTCTCGAGTTGTCGACCGAATGGTACCGTGCCTAAATGTCAGTGCCTGGTACGTTAGCGCCGACCATTTTTTCAAATTTTTTTATTAAACTCAGATGATATAATCATCGTAAAATCATTTCCGACCTCCAGTACAGGGACTGTAACTTAAATAGTCGGAATCATTTTTCACCATTGGATTGAGATGACAAACGGTTAAAATCTGTGCCACGTCAGTTGTAAACAGTAATGTCAGCTACAGTATTGGTCAAATAGTGCCTATTAATATCTTGGCCGTTATTCCAATGTTTGAAAAGGCTTAAGATAAAGATTAAATGCAGGCACACAAAACAAGATAATCATTTACGTATGATTATTTGAGTTTTAGCAATTACAAAATTAAAAAATAAATTCATTTTAGGAAAAAGTACGAATTACCCCCAAACTATCGCGGTCATCCGAATTATCCCCTAAACCACAAAACCGGACATTCTTCACCTCCAACTATGCAAACCGGATGAATTACCCCTCTCGATTCAATCCACGGTGGTTTTAGTCTACATGGCGTACACGTGGCAGTCCAGTCGGCATTCTAATTATAAAAAAAAGTGGGACCCACCTGTCATATTCTCTTCCACTATTCCTCTCTCTCTCACTCTTCCTCTCCTCTCTCTCTTCTCTGTCTCACTCTTCCCCTCTCTCTCACACACGCACGGCGGCAGGCGGGGGACACGAAGGTGCGGCGGCGGCGCGCACGCACGCGGACAGGGCCGGAGGCGGCGGCGAGGACGGCGACGTGGCCGAGACGCGCACGGCGGCGAGGACGGCAGCACGCACGGCGCAGCGGCGCGCACGCATGCAGACAGGGGCGGCGGCGGCAAGGATGGCGTCATGCACGGCGCTGCAGCGCGCACGGCGGCGCGCGCGCGGCAATCAAACAATGAAGAGTTCACGCCGACGACAAAACAAAGCAATCAAACTGCAGGTCTGCAGGACATTGACAAATCACAAAAATCTTTCTATTCTAGCGGCTAAAAGAATTGCTACTTTGTCGGGGATTTTGTACCAGGGGGGAAATCAAGAAGCGGCGGTGGTGTGATCGAATCGATCGTCAAAGGAAGGTGGTTCCGGCGAAGCCGCGGTGGAGGAGGTTGTGGGCGATGTTGTCCCTATTGCGCTTGGCGGCCTCGGAGCGGACGGGGGTCTCCTGCAAGGTCTTGTCGTCGACGAGCTCGTACCGGAGCTACGGCTCGAGCTCCTCGTCGCGCGTCTCGCAGATGTTGTGGAGGACGCAGCAGGTGCCGAGCACGACGGGGAGGTCCTGGAGCTTCACCTCCGTGCGCTTCTGGAGGCACGCCCACCGCGCCTTGAGTCACGCGAACGCGTCGACGGCGACGCGCCGGAGGTCGCCCACCCTCTCGTTGAAGGCGTAGATGGGGCGGCGCGTCGAGGAGAACAAGAGCGCTCGGGGCAGAGGGAGGTCGAGGCCTCGAGCCTGCGGCCGCGTGCGTGCCGCCGTCCTCGCCGCCGCCGCCCCTGTCCGCAGGCGTGCGCGCCGCTGCGCCGTGCGTGCTGCCGTCCTCGCCGCCGTGCGCGTCTCGGCCACGTCGCCGTCCTCGCCGCCGCCTCCGGCCCGTCCGCGTGCGTGCGCGCCGCCGCCGCCCCTTCGTGTCACCCGCCTGCCGCCGTGCGTGTGAGAGAGAGGGGAAGAGTGAGACAGAGAAGAGAGAGGAGAGGAAGAGTGAGAGAGAGAGGAATAGTGGAAGAGAATATGACAGGTGGGTCCCACTTTTTTTTTTTTACAATTAGAATGCTGACTGGACTGTGACGTGTACGCTATGTAGACCAAAACCACCGTGGATTGGATCGATGGGGGTAATTCATCCGGTTTGCATAGTTGGGGGTGAAAAATGTCCGGTTTTATGGTTCAGGGGGTAATTCGGACGACCGCGATAGTTCGAGGGGTAATTTGTACTTTTTCCTTTATTTTATATTTTAAAGCAACATCTATATATAAAGTTTTCCCATAATATATATATATATTGATAGTTTAAAAGGCATACTAACAAAAATAAAGGTGAAAATGGGTATCTCAATCGGAAAAGAACGGGATGTGAGAGGGTTAGGGGCATCACCAACATATTATCTATAATTTTCTCCTAAAAATTTGTTTTTGGGTTTCCTACTACAAATAGGAAGTGAAAAAACTCCTCCCTCCAACAGATAGCCTAAATTCAATCTCCAAAACTTAAAAGTGGACCCTTATGTTAAACTACCCAGAGAAAATTCCCTTTTTTTTCTTTCACGCATAGAAAGATCACTATCTCCCACACGCGGGAACGAGGGAGAGAGGCGGGACTGCGTGATTGGGAGCGACATTCGCGCCCGCATATAAACAGAGTGAGGAACCGGGGGAAGGGAACTCCAAAACAAAGGGTAGGAGAGTAGGGAATCTGTTGGAACTAATTTTTAGACTAAAATTCTTCAAAATTAATTTTAGGAATCATATAGGTAGACTGTTGGTGATGCTTTACAGTGGCTATATCAACTGCGCGTGACGTCAATTCCCACCTAACAGCGCCGGGCCATCGTTGCGCTTGCCAGCAGCATCCATGTGCGGATGTGCCGATTTGAACGGCTTGCACGCAGCTTGCATCGTTCGCGTCTTGGTCCATCAATGCAACGAGCTTGCGTGTCGCCGCGACGTCGCTGTACGTCCTCCATCTCCTGTAATCCCCGGGACCTCCATCTCCCACTCCAACCCCGGCGAGGCGACGCAGCTCGATCAATGGGCAATGGGCAATGGCCCTACGGGCTACGGCTACGGGGTACGGCCCCAGATGCCCCAGACCAAATCCGACGGGCAGACCCCCAGTACCTGCCGGCTGAGCTGCCGTCCCCCTCTCAACTAGGGATGAAAACGGTCGGAAACGATCGAAAACAGCCTCAACCATTTCTGTAACTATATTTTTCTCGGAAACGAAATCGGAAACCGTAAAGTCGGAAACGAAAACGATATCGGAAATATCGGAAAACCGGAAACGGAACAATACGGACGGAAACATGTCGGTACAGATCGAAAACCGGTAACAAATACGGAAACATTAAACTATAAAAACATATATTTAACTTTACATAAGTATGTTATATATATACATAAATTTAAGCTTATACTATATAAATTATAAATTAACTTTATTTTAGCTATGTACAAAAGTTAGAGATTTTATTGAAGAGTCATTCAATCTATAAGCTGTGGGTCAAGTATAGACATGTCCTATAATATCGACATATTTAGAATACGGTAATTACCATATTATAAGAAACGGTAATTTCCGCAAGAATACGGTAAATACGGAAACGATCGATATAACAGCAAAACCATTTCCGTTTTCATTTCCATATTTTTTACCATTTCTATTTTTTTCGGTCGATTACCATTTCCATATGGCTCGGCCGGTAGAAAGTCGAAAACGAACGCCGGTCGGCCGGTAATTACCGTTACCGTTTTCACCCCTACTCTCAACCCGACGACGTGTCGCGAGCGCGGCGCGCGGCAGCTGATCCGGACCGTACGTGCAGCCCCTTGGAGGAATGGTAGGTGACCACACTCCAACTGCAATCCTGTCTATCGTATGCACGATGCAATAATTGGTTTACATTCTTCTGTTTGGGCCTGTTTTAGTTCCTAACTTTTTTTTCTTCAGACTTTTAACTTTTCTATCACATCAAAACTTTCTTACACACATAAACTTTTAACTTTCTTTTTTCAAATTTTCAATTTTAGTCAAACTTACAATTTTAGCGTGGAACTATAAACATGATAGAGTCCATCGATTACCGGCCACATCCTCTAATAAATTAAAACGGTTTATTAAAAAATATAAATTAATTTATAGATAAAACTTTTATATATTTGTTCGTATTGACTTAGAATCCAATGCTAAAACAAAATTATGTTTGAAAATATCTTAAAATCAACTTCAAAACCAAGTTAAAATTTTGACTTTTGCTTGGACTTATTAGGCCAACCAATGAGCCTGATAATCACCATCCCAAATTTTTGTTTTTGGTCCATGTAACATTTTTTCTAAAACTTTGATAGGAGAGAATAGGCGATGAAACTGCTATATTTTGGATGGAGAGAAGGGATATTGACTCCTCGTTTGTGGATCTTTTGATAATTACAGTTTCTATCTGAATTTCCAACTTCCAAAACATGCTAGATTCTCACCTACTGCCTCCATTCCAAAATAAGTTTTTTTCACCCATCTCACATATTGGTGCCCCTATTTTATCAAAAAATACTAATGCAATTACCAATTTATCTACTCCTATAATTATTCCCTATTTTCAGAAACTCCGATGCATAGTCTATTTTGGGACAAATGGAAAGAGCTCAAAAGTGAACTCATTATGGGATGGAAGGAGTAAATTGTAAGGATTTCACAGTGAAGTGACATGGCGCGTGGAATCGAGGTGCCAAGTGAAAGATTCTATCCATTTTGCGCTCTGTCGTGCCCCCACATGGTTTCTCAGTGCTCAGTTAGGCATGGGTGCTCCACTGCAACGTGGTCCCAGAACCTCATTGTGAGACGGTCCCATAAAAAAATTCCTTGTTAGTCCTAGCGAGGAGCCAAGGGTACCCTGCACTGTGGAATATGCGACTTGTTAATGATTTCTCCTATGTGGAGTCCTCCTTTTTACCAGGAAACTCAGTTGGTGTAGCTTTGCATTGCTAGTGTCCTAAGGGCGTTTACAATGCGGTGAGGTGGCGTTCAGCCTCGTTCGAGAGAATCGAATATTCCATGCCACATCGGCTATACCCGGAGCCAGAAGAGGTCCTCGGAGCCAAGCTTGGCTACCCGTTCTTGGAACGGAAAAAAGGAGGGAGAAGCAGGGATAATGCATTGTGGAGGGCGGAGCCTTGCGCGAGTGGCTTCGCGCAGGCGTCGGCAGTGGGTGGTGACGAGGACGGAAGCTTGCCGGCCGGCGTCGTCGCCGCTCGACCAGCCCGCTGCCGGTGCCGTCTCCAACTAAACTTCCTCCACCTCCGCCGTTGTCGAGCTGTCGCTGCCGTTGTCGGGCTGCTACCGCTGTCGTCGAGCGACCACCACCTGATGCCAGATCCGCCAGGCCCCTGCCATTGCTGCCCGAGGCTAGATTTGGCCACCCCACCGCCACCCAATGCCAGATCTGCCCGGCTCCACACCAGCGACGGTGACCACCTGACGATCTCACGGCAGCGGCGCACAGAACAAGCTGGAGTAGTTGCACATGTCGGGGCCCACCCAATCGGTGGTGAGGTTGTTGGGGTCGGAGAAGATGGCCTCCCGCCTCCACGTCTGCAGCACCACGTACGCGTCCCGCATCCTCGAGCTCGCAAACCTCCACCTCGCCGCCTCCGCCGCCGCATCACCACCACCATCGCCGCCGGATAAATCCGCCGCCGCCACCGCCCCACCGGCACCGGCAACGGTGACGCCGCGCCGCTCGACGCCGCAGCTGGGTGGCTCGGCACCGCCGCCGCGCCAGAGGAGGAAGGGGAGGCGCGACGTCGCAGGAGGAAGAAGGCGCGCGGGCGGAGGAGGAAGGGGAGGCGCGGACTGGGTGGGAGTGACGCTGAGGATAAGGCTAAGAGAAAGACTTTTTTATTTGTGTGGATCCTGTTTGAGGCTACATAGCATTATGAGACTTGTGGCAAATATTATTCTTCTTGTGTATTCGTCCTATGTGGTAGCCCCAAGGTTTGCAAAATAGGTGGCGCACTGCTGATGCCCCAAGGCAATGTACAATGTGGTCTCAGCACCATGCCCGCAGCATCCACATAGGCTCGGATGACACGGTGGAGGAGAGAAGTGCCATTGCAAGCTATCAGCATGATATACATAGGGCACGGTGGCTTGAGGAGAAAAGACGGAGGAAAGATGTGATCCAGTTATCCAGCCGAGAATGATGAGGGCCGGAGAAAGTGCACATCGTCACCTATTGTGGGGAAAGAGAAAGAACAAATGAGTTTAGCGAGACGCCTTCTGTCGGTGATATGGGACCGGGAGTATCATGACCAGAGGCTTGAGGCAGACACAATCGCCCACGTGGCCTGGCACCTTCGGGGACGTCGGGCCCGAGGGTGAGGTGTCCGCCCTCCTCCTGATTTCCCCCGAGGGGGGGGGGGGGGTCGGGCTGCGCTTGCCCCGGCCCCGAGGGCCGAGGCACCCCGACCCCTTAAGGAAGTCTGCGCCACATATATGGGATAAGTGAGCACAGCTGTGCTCACCTAACAGCATTTATTGCAGTCTGGTCAAGCGTGTCACGCTGCATGCAACGCTGTACAGCGCGTTCCTTTATCCG